CCATTATTAGCTTCCCCCTTGATACCTGGACTAGATAATCTTAATTGGAACATCTTCAAGTTAGTGGATATCTTGTCTGCTAAAAATCCATTCTTGAGGGTCCTTTATGTCATATATATTTTATTTTTTTTCAGTGTTGGATGGAAGCATTACCCACTTATTTTATTTCTAAACTGAGGAATTTTTATGTAGTTCTTTTTTATTATCCATATCTTAATAACAGTCTATATTTGTTGAAGCATCAGCTTCATACTTTACTAAAATCTTTACTGATGTTTTTCTTTAGTTCTTTGGATATATTTTTAAAAGTTGACTTAATGTCTAGTAAGTCCAGCACCTTTCTTTCCTTTGGAATACTTTCTGTTGATTTCTTTTTCTGTGCATGTGACATAATTTACTATTTCTTTGTATATTTTTTTTTATTTTCTTGGAAACTGAACATTACATATGCAAATAGGTTTTCTCCATTCATATAGTTTGTTTTTGATGTTACTCTGTTCTTTTTCATGATTTTCCTGTATAAAATTTGTATATTGTAATGTGTGGATAATGATTTATATTTGCAGCTTTGAGCACATATAATGATTAGGTAAAAATTTTCCTAAATAACCAATATGTCACTCACTCTATATTAAGGGACTTTTCTACGTGTATTTTGTTTCACATGTGTTATTCAGGTAGCTCAAAATTGTTTCTTATCCTTAACCTACTGCTTGCACAGGGGCTTGTGATAATTAAGAAGTAAGCATCTAGGAACTTCAAGTATTTCCTATGCTACCATACATTCTGCACATTCATGTGGATTTCATATAAAAAGCAGTGTGTTACTGTTTTCCAAAGAACTCTTTTTATATACCACAAAATGTATCTTTATCATCCATTGTTTTTACATTTTCATTATTTTGTTGTGTTTTTATTTCAGTTACTGTTAGTTATTTAACCTTATATGATAGTCAATAATTGCTATTAATTCTTTATGCTTAACACTGGTATGGGAATCTACTAATAGAAAAGTCTCTGCATCAGCCCAAATAACTAAAAATTTCATGGGCTATTGTAGCATGAATCTTAAAAGGTCTTATTAATGAAAACAAACCTGGGAGCCACATACTGGGATCAACGCTGGAAGACCAGAGAAGCAGAACAAGCCACAGCTTCCTCACCCGCCAATTCCTCAGCTGATCCTGTTTCCTCAGACTGGAAGCTTCTGCAGTCCTCATCCAGAATGAATCTCAGCTGAACTGTTGCTCAAAAGCCTAAAAGCTTAACCAGGCTATAATTCCTTGTCCTCACACCTTAAATACTTTTCTACCTCCTGCCATTACTTCCTGGGATTAAAGGCGTGAGTCACCATGCTGGGCTATTTCCAATGTGGTCTTGAACTCACAGAGATCCAGGCAGATCTCTGCTTCTGGAATGTTCGGATTAAAGGTGTGTGCTACCACTGCCTAACCTCTATGTTTCATATTGTGGCTGTTCTGTTCTCTGACCCCAGATAAGTTTATTGGAGTGCACAATATTTCAGAGAACACAATACCACCGCAGGCTATATTTTTTCTAGAGAACTTATTAGCTGATCCAAATAGTTATTCTGTTTTTCTTACTGACAATCAGAAGGTTTTCTTGCATAAATATTCTTTGGAAATGTGTAAGTCTTTGGTTACTTTCCAAAAATATAAATATTAATTTTAACCTTTGTTTGAAAGAGTATCACTTTGTTGTCAAGCTGGTCTTCAAACCAACATTTTCCTGCTTTGTAGCTTCCTGAATGCTAATATCACATGTATGTGCCTATGCCTGGCTAATTTTGAGTATTTATGTAAACACATATTTTATAGATAAGTACATTTTAAATGTTTTCACCTTGAATTTCTAGTGATTTACAAATATAGATTTATTTTTAAATGTTAAACCAAACTTGATTCTATGCTTAATTTGATTTAATCATGAAACATGGCTATAAATTGTTAGATTTTATTTCTAAACATTTGAACACAGATATACATGCTCATAAAAAATATTTTTGTATAGCCTCATTTTAAATGTAGGATTTTTTTCTATGAAGATACTGCTTTTCATATATGTTGAATTTGGAATTATTCCCTTCTTCTGTATCTTCTGGAAGATCATATGGAATTCAGATTTTAAAGTTCAGTGTAATCTATATTTCCTTGCAAGAATATTTTTAATAAAAATTATTTTTTTATAAAATACTATTTTGGTTATCTACTTACTGACTTAATTTTTATATTTGCATCTTTCAAGTGAAAATTTTTATACCATCTAAGTTGCTGGGTTTATGGGCTCTTTCCAAATCCTCTCCCCATCCCTACATACCCAACTTTGTTTTTTCTCAAAACAAAAATCCAATACAACAAACTTCCCCAAATAAAAAAAAACACCAAAATTTGATAATACCCCAAAAGAAAAAAACACCGTGAGCAAATAAAAACACACAAACTATAACAAAAAACAAACAAAAAACTAAACCGTGGAGCCTATTATATTTTGACTAGCTACTCCTGAACAGAAGATCTGCCCTTGAGTGGTTTATATACCCAATGTCCCTTTATTGGAGAAAACTGATTTTCCCACTCTCAGAAGATATAAATGACAGTCCATTTATTAACCTTTACCCCAGGGACTAGGTTTTCATTAATTCTTTCTGCATTCTTTAATGGGTTACTTTTAATTTAATTTAACACATTCTCATTCTCTCTCCCTCTATATATGCATGCATGCTTGTATGCATGCATGCATGCATGTATGTATGTATGTAGTATGTATGTATATTTATGTGTAAATATATAATGTATAAGTATATATTTGATTACTTTCTGTTCTCTTTATGAATGTGCTATTTCTCTTATTCTGTGTTATGTCATTCTTAATTTTCTTATACTGGAGTATAAAGGCATTCATTTGAATATAATGCCATTTATTAAAGGCTTCTAATTATTTGTAATATAAGAATTTCAGTTCTATAAAAATCTTCCCAGCAGGGAAGTGGTGGTGCACTTGGGAGGCAGAGCCAGGCAGATCTCTTTGAGTTCGCGGCTGGCCTGGGCTGCAGAGTGACTTCTAAGACAGGCACAAGCTACACAGAGAAACCCTGTCTCCACAAACAAAATCAAAATCTTCCCAAGCCAGTTTAGCTACATTTGGATTTGAAGGTATTAATTTTTATATGTATTTAGTTTGAAATGCTTCTCAGTTTCTCTTTTTATGTCTTCTTTGTCTAATGAATATCTTAGAAGTTCTCATTTTTTCCCAAATATTTTGGAGATTATCAATAAATATTTCCCTGCTAATTTCAATCCATTGTGGAATTAAATCAACATGTTTTGTATGAATTGTACTCATTCTAAATGTATCAACTAATTATATTACTATCTTATCACTTGAATGCCAAAGGAATCTGCTGATTTCTATTCCTCAACTTGATGTTACCACTTCTATTCTACCTGACAGAGAAATAAATGGCAAAGGAAAAAAGCAAACAAATCAATTTAGAAAATAATAAACAGCAATTACAATGAACTAACACAATTGTCTTCAGGTATTACTTGTGTCTATTCTCATAGAACTTTCTCAACATTACTGAGTTACATGCCCCTTTATAACAGTTTTTTTTTATATTTTATTTCTGTAATAGAGATATGTATATTTCTCTAATCTAATCAAATATATGTGTGTATTTTTAATGGCTTTGTAATCAAGTATTCACTCAAGTCCTTTGATTCAACCAATATCAAACTATTCACAGTAGTTAAAATATCAAACTTCTCTTTAATGTGAAACATTAAGGCTAAAGTCTCTCCAGGGAAGTCATTTTGACAATATTATTTATTAAGGAAATAAAGAAAAGTGTTATGTAGGAATATTGTGAGTAAAGAGGTCATCACATAGATAATTCTTGAAATCCTTTTTTGCTACCAAAGGAATTTTAGCTGTTTTCTGATTGACATCTTAAAATACTTCACAGTCCTCAGATGATTGTGCTCATCATTGATCTTGGTAAGACTGTTCCTGACAAGTTAGGCTTTTTATATAACTGGATTACTTTCTGACATAGATTCTCAAGATGCTTTATTCTTCACCTTTAGCTTATTAAAGCTAGCAGTATATCCACTTAATCAACTTTATCAGAAGAGTACAGCAGAACAATAGTAGGAGAACAACAGTTTGGGAGATGGCAGCTTGACACTTAGGAAAATTAAAAAGAATAAATATTGCTGCAAGGTTAAACTTTCAGCATGTATCACTGAGATGACTAGGACAAAAGGCTATGAACACTAAAACATCCAATACAAACCTGCTTTTTTACCAATTCTATCTCTTCTCAGTACCCAAGAAGTTATTTCCATGTTAGAAAAACAATATTACTGCCATATTCACATCTATGGACCATATTACCAGAAGTAACTCAAGTTACTTATCCAGTATTTCCAGTTTATCAAAAATTAGCTAATTTCTCTCAATAAAGGAGTCACATGAATGATTTCTTGTCATATGTGTTTTTCCAATTTTCTATCCAAATCAAGGGCATTAAACTTCTACCTGCATCTCTGTCCTAGCAGGCCTACTTTTGTCCTTTCCCTCATTCTCCTCACCATCGTCAAGACCATAGGTATATAAATAATGCATTACCACCCATTCAAGATGGCTCCAAATTGTCTTTGATTTATGTTCATACAAACTATATATTTAGAAAGGAGTGATGAAATGGTAGTGAAATATTACATATTTAGGGATTTGAAATTGCCTTGTTTGCAGGAAATTCTTATGTGTTTGCGCCAGATCTGGGAAACTACATACATACATACAGTTATAGCAACACCTAAGAAACACACTGACAGCCTGATATTGTTGCTTCTCTCGTACACACACACACACACACACACACACACACACACACACACACACACACACACACACACACACACACACACACACACACACACACACACACACACACCTGTCATTCATGTGGAAAACCCGTAAAGACTTACTTGGGTTATTAATATAAAACAAAATTGTAAGTTTCATTATTTATATGGCCTGTCAATTATATGAAAATAATCAGTATATGTTATATACCACTCACATTTATATTTTTGCACAAGCATTCTAGATTAAAACCCCTTATGTCAGTGTTTCTCAATCTATGGGTCACAGCCCTTTGTGGGGTCATATATCAGATATCCTGCATATCAGATATTTATATTACAATTCATAACTAGCAAAATTCCAGTTATGAAGTAGCAACAAAATAATTTTATGATTTGGTGATCACCACAGCATGAGGAACTGTATTAAATGGTCTCAGCTTTAGGGTGTTTGAGAACCACTGCCCTGTGTCTTGGGACCCTAATTATGTTTTTCTTTTCTTATTTGTTCATGTATAGTCAGGACGATGGATAAATAAAACTCTCACAGGTGGTTAAGTACTCAACTAAAAACACATTTATACCATTCCATGTAAGGCTCAAGGAAGAGGGAGTGGAAAGAATGTAAGAACCTGAAAATAGATATAAGGGATATGAAATACTTTCTCGGGATGTGACGAACTTTGCAACTATGAACTCATAGCAGTGGTTGTTACCCATATTAGTCCAGCACAAAACTTGAACTATCACAAACAGCCATGGATAGAGGATGGACTCATGGGGACCTACCTTTCTTGCTAAACTATTTACAGAGCCATTATTTTCAGATTTGTACCCACTAGTGAGTCTACAATCTCTGCTGGATAGTTCCAAACCCATAGTCACAGACATGACCCTTGCTAAACTAACTGGCTTATAAAACAAAAAGATATAACCATAAGAATGGGATTTATTGTCAATAGGGTGGATTTACAAGGGTATGAGAGGGGAAATGAGGGGAATAAGAGTAATCAGAATGTATTTTGTACATGCATGAAATTGTCAATGAACAGATCCAATTAATAAAAAAAACTTATATACCATATATAGTCAAATACTTTAGAGGTAAAGAAACATTTTTTAAAACTTCTATTAAAATATTAAAAGTTTAGAAAATATGTCAGAGCATTTTTTCTTATAAATTTATCCAAATTCATACCATGTAGTCTATCCTAATTAATTTCTTAATATATTATTGTAGTTCAATTTGACTTTTCACTGTTTGATCACAATAAAATTAAGTTATAAATTTGTGATTTAAGAATATTTTATTATAAATAATATAGAAACTTAGAAACCTATGCATACAATGACTTGGAACCTTTAAATTTTAGTATTCACAATTTGGTTTATAATTAGAAGTAATGGGATGATTGAAAATTAAGATTTTTATGGCATCAATGTCAATGTTAAATTCTATTACCATGATATATGTTTGTAAACAGTACTAACAATTTTACTTATATTAACAAAATTTACTTTAATAAATGTTATTTAAGATGTCTTAAATAGCAATATACTAGTTTATTGTGCTTTCTAACAATGTACCTGTCAAACATGGTGGCATGCAGGTAGACATGGTGCTGGAAAGATAGATGGGGGTTCTACAGCTGGATCAGCAGATATCAGGAAAAGAATGCCACATTAGTCCTAGCTTGAGCATCTGAGACCTCAAAGCCCACCCTTTAGTGACACATTTTCTTCAACAAGGCCACACCTACTCCAACAAGGCCATACCTGCTAATAATGCCATGCTCTGTTAACCAAGCATTCAAACACATGAGTTTATAGGGGCCATTCTTAATCAAACCATTATACCACCAAAGTATCATATATTAATGTTTTCCTTATGAGTATCTGTCCTGTTCTGAGGACATCAACCATTAAGCACCAAGTAAAATACCATCTACTAGTCAACATTCTCAAGAAATAACCTCAACCAATAGACACTAGACTGATGGTATATTTTACTATCTGTTGAATACAGAATACTTATACAAAAGTATATATTACTCTAGTAAATAATCAAATAGGTACAGAGTCATATTGTTTTACAACAACTTGATCTTACTAATTTTCAATATAAAATTATTAAAATAAATTTCCTTAAATTTACACCTTTTACATATTATAGAAAATTATTAAAGAGAAAAGGAAAGAGTAGAAGCAACAAACACTCAATAATGAATCTTTAGATAAAGTTTCAAAAAAATCACAACAGTAACCTCCATTAAGACTCCAAAAAAGATATATAGACTTCAGAAATTTGCATACTGAACAATACAGTCTATAAAGTTTATAGTTACTCACCTATGGATCTGAACTGAATTTTCCAGTCTTAGATCACTAAAACAATAAAAAAGAAAAGAAATTGCCTAAAACACCTTAACACTAATAGAAGATGTAAAAAGTATGTTCCATTATACTTACCTAACAGGAAAGCAATATTGTTTTTGAAATGCTAGTATGACTGTCAGCATATATTCCAGTTCCTTGCCCTGCTTTTGATTCCTTATTTCCATTGTTTTTATTTGTTATAAATTTCCTTGATGAAAGTGTCAGCAGCTCCATTCACAGTAAGAAGAATGATGCAAATCTTGGTCACTAGACAAAATTACTATACACATTACCTCAAAAGCTAGGAGACAAAACCCACACATAGTGGTTAGTGGACTTCACCAGTGGCTCATGAGGCAAAGGCAGACTTTGAAAATCTTATTTGTCTTATTTGAAGGACTCATTTCTGATCCTCTGATTGCCATTTGTATGTTATTCACCATTTTCAGAAAGTTGTTTTCATCATTGATCCAGACAAGTCCTCTTTTAAAAGATAAATATTTCCACAGCCAGACAAAACCTGGGCAAGCTGTGTTTTGAAAGAGTATGATTGTGCAGTAGACTATTTGCTTACTTGCTGAACAAGTACCTGCTGGCAATGTGAAAGGTGACCAAGAGGAAGGAACATTTGAGAGTGGTTTTGTATGCCATATATCAAATAATCAATGCATAGTGCCATTGAGCAGAAAGACCTCCAGAAACTCGATCCTGAATTACATCAGGCCCAGCACACACAGGAATGTATGGATAAATATTAACAAGGGCAAGGAAAGCAAAAATGGCCACTCCACTCACCCTACTACTCACTCATTTCACTATTAACACTAGCTAGCTGATATTTGACAGTACTAGAAGGTCTTTAAATGACTCTGCATCTTGTTCTGCTAATTTTATTCTGGCATTGAGGTCCAGAAGAGAATGCCTGTTGTGATGCACTTGCCTACCACAGTTTGTGTTGCCTGCAGGTTTGGAGATTGATCACTAAGTCCCAAATGAAGGGCTTATAGTCAAGAATACTCAGAACCACAGTCCACCACCAAAATTTTCTAGTTATCAGTGTGTCCAATTGACCTGAGAAGTGATATTGGTATCTTTGATGTGTTCTAGGGCTGCCAATCTGGCAACTTTGTATGAAGAGTCTTCTAGGTTTGTAGTTTGGATGACTATTTTCACAAAAAGCCCTTGAAGTGTTGGTCCTCTCCATTGCCAGTGTGATGGGAAGCAGATGTTAAAGAGTAGGCAGGAAAGTTAATGGTAAATTCCTACATCCCCTTAGCATGGCCACCTCAAGGTATCCCAACTATAGCTATGCATAACCCTCTTTTTTTTTACCTGATCAGTTGCTTATGTCCAAGTGTCTTAGAATTTACCCAAGCAAGATAAATTGTATCTCCAGTTCTTGACTCATAGGCATAAGTGGTAGGTGATATACCGAAACCGCCCCTAGAATGGGTGGGATGATTCGAATGTCATTAGAATTAGACAGAAATTCTAAAGGGTGGAGGAGAGCCGTTGGCCTTTCTGAACACAAGTTATAGGCCTTATATTTCATGTTACCTGAAAAGTGTGATGCTGTGGGGTCAAAGAAGGCATCACAGATCACTGAAAGACACAAGAGGGGACAAGGACCTGAGCAATGTTGGTTGGTCATTTGAGGCTTGTGCAAGAGCAGAAAGTCACACAAGAGGTATGCTTCCTGCAGACCTCCTCTCTCTCTGTTCAAAAAGACCCAATCCCCAGTCTCATCCCTAGTTCTGCAACTGAACACCAGTTGCATCCTTCTCTCACCCCTCACCACATCTTTTTTGGATCCCACAAACCATTCCCTCTTAACCTCCATCCCTCTATTTGTTGCTTTATCCAAGCCCTCAATGCCAACAGATACCCCCTGCTAAACCACAGGCCACACTGTACAAGAGACCAGGTAAGTTGCCCACAGACTCTTTCTTCTCTCTCAATTGAGAAAGACTCAATTCCACAGTCTCATCTGTAGAGCTGCAACACAATATCAGCTGCAAGATTCCCTCACTCCTGTGTACATCTCCTGTGGATTTCACAAACAATCCCCCCTAACCTCTTCCAACTTCTTGCTTTGTCCCTGACAAAAACCCCAGCAGGCACCCATTGCTTACCCTTGGGTATCTCTTCCCAGGGCAACAAGCATGCTTAAGGCAGACCCACACCTCACCTACTACTCCTGAGAGCCAATAGCCCCAGTTTTATTTCCAGATCTGGAGCTAGAAACCACTTGTGGTCTCCCTTTCCTCTTTGACACTATTTTCAATGTACCATAAAGACCTTCTCCTCAACCTTCCTTCCCCAATTCATCCCAGTTACCCAGATTTCAACATCAGCTAAATAGGCCAGGAAAATAGGCGACACATCTATCACACTCCAAAAATCCAGAAAGGAAACAGAAACCACTCAAAAAAGACAAATCCAGAAATGAGCACCTAACCTTGAACAATTCCAAACTCAGATGCCAAGGTGCAAGTATTTTTATCAATCAATACAATCAAAAATATCCAGGACACTATATGCCCACTAGATCCCAGCTATACTACCAGAGCAGGCCTTGAATATTCCAACATGGCTGAAGTTCAAGAAAGACCTTAAACCGAACTATATGATAGAGGTCCTAAAAGTATAAATGAATAAATCCCTTAAAGAAACCTGGAACACACAAATAGTTTAAGGAAATTAATAAAGCTTTTCAAGACTTAAACATCTAAAAAGAAGCAATAATTAAAACACAAACAGAGAATTATGGAAATGAAAGCTTTAGGATTTCAAAAAGGAACTACAGAGGCGAGCTTCACCAACAGGAGGCAAGAGATTGAATAGAGACTGCCATGCATTGAAGATATGCTCAAAGAAATAAGTACATTGACCAAAATATTAAATCTAAAAAAAATCTTTACACAAACATCCAGGAAATCTGAAACATTATGAAGAGACAAAACCTAAAAATAATAGGTATAGAGGGAAGAGAAGAAACTCAGTTCAAAGACTTACACAATTATTAAAACAATATAACAGAGGAAAATTTTCCTAATCTTAAGAGAGAGATGCCTATGAAGATACAAGAAGCATACAGAACACCAAAAAGATTGGATATGAAAATAAAGTCCCCTTGCCACATAAAAATCACAACACTAAACTTACACAACATTGAAAGAATATTAAAAGCTACAACGGAAAAACAACAAGCAACATATGAAGGCAGATGTATTAGAATTACACCCAAATGCTCAAAGGCAGCTCTAAAAGAGCCTGGATAGATAGAATCTAGAAGAGTTTGGATAGATACGTGACAGACTTTAAGATACCATATATGCCAGAAAAGGTTGCTATAACAGGCAATTTTCAATCACCATTGATGGAGAAAATAGGATATTCCATTATAAAGTCAATTTTTTTACAGGGGTAAAAGCCATAGAGATCAGAGAAATAGGAATAGCCACCAACTAACCGTAGCTCACCACACCGTCATAGCGTCACAAAAGAAGCAGCTTCTTCCTGTCTAATCTGTGCCTTTATTGCCTTGCTGTTCTGCCCTATTACTGGTTCTTAGACATGCCAGCTCACTTTCTTATCAGTGCCTGTCTGGACACATATCCAGGTATCTATGATTGGTACTAGGATTAAATGCCTGTGTCACAACACTTGGCTATGTCCTTGAATACACAGAGACTGTGTGACATGTGATTGGATTAAGGGCATATACTACCACCACCGGCTTTTGTTTATGGCTAGATAACTATTTCTTCTAATCTCCACAAAAACTTTAGTTATTAACATACAAAAAAAATCACTACATTTCCCCTGATGAGGGCCTTTGCTGTGAGAAGATTAGGCAAAAAGGACAGCTCAGCATGGTGAACTGTTCCTCAAGGGATGAAGCAAAATGAGTTCTCATATTTATAAGGGAACCTTTATGGGAGAAGACAGGGGAGGATGTCAGGACACACCTGAGATGGGCCACTGATGACACTGCACAGTCTGCAGGATGGAACCATGGTCTGAACGAATGATAAGGTTCAGAAAATCTCTGGAACTTGGAAAATCAAACAGTGAGTCCTGCCACACAGGAAGGGACAGGTTCCTTTCTCAACTGCCCAGATTTTAACTAGAGGTTTTCAGTAGAGGACCTTTCCCCTCATGCTCTGACTTTTAGCATTAGAATGGTGACAATTGTCAAGACACTATACAAGGCTAATTAAATCTTTTTTCCTTGTGATTCCTGCCTTGGCCCCACCAAATCAGAGACCTGTCATCAGTTCTCCATGGTAGACCATCATAGATATGTACATAAAGGCTCATAACCACAGACAAATCACTCCATAAAAAATCATTACACAAGGTGCATCATTTGCTGATCATCAGCCTATGTCACTTGCCTGCTCTACACACCTGGGAAAATTCTACATCACAGTGGTCATAGAAGTATGTTGTTAGAGTTTTGCAGGATATGCATGGAGCTGAAATTCGTTGAGAATGGCTATGGTTGAGAGTGTCTGTAAACAATGAGGGCTCTCTTGGCCTTGCAACCAGGAAGAGAATGCCTGCCCTGAAAAAAAAACATACCTGGCTGCTGTGGACTGATGGATGGGAGGTCAATCGGTTGCCTATCTAAGACAAAGGGTTGGGGACGTTTTGTGGTACCTGTACAGCAGTAGAATGTTCCGGATGTCCCTAAGTCCTATATGCCTAAGAAGTTACAGGGGTTAAGCATGAGACCTAGTGTGTGCCAGAAGGACATGCTTGAAAGACCCTTAGTCAAGGATGTGGTCCTCATGCATTGTGTCACAATGGGTTCTTGAAGGTCTTCCACTGCCAATCAAAATCTGTAGAGGATGTGCAAGGACAAAACTAGGTGGGGGGGTCAAGTGAAGCATAATTTGTCCTATACACATGCGATGACCCAGAGACGCCCTGGTCCTCCTGACTCCACCTATGGGTGTTGCACTGAAGTCCCTGATCAGTGGCTCCTGTCCAATTCCCTTGGAATTGTCCAGGACAGTGTATACATTTGGAATTGCCATTTGGCATCCTCGGGTTGGAGGGCTAGATGTTTGCCGCCATCAGGCCAGAGCCTGGAGGCCTTGCTTCCAAGGTGGAAAGGTTCTTGGTGTTTCAGAGGCCTTAGAAGGCAAGGGCACACGATGTTTAGAGATCCCAGCCCTTGGTTTGATATTTCCAGTTACCTGAAATGTGCCAGGATGCTGCGGGCTC